AATGCTTGACATGTTAACCATTGTTATCTTTAGAAGGGTTTCCCTCCTTGACCTGCTTGATCCCCACAGTGCTTTGAGATCAGTCAACAGGGTTGCAATGCCCACTGCAAGAGGCAACTGGAGTTTAGGAAGGAGAGGCTTCTTGTCCAAGGATACCTGCCGGAGGAGGAGGCTGAGCTGGGCTGGAGCCCGGTTCTCTTGACCTCATGTCTAGGACTCCGTGTGTGATGCCACTTGTGATTTTTTGGCATTTGACCTCAGATCACACTGGTGACTGATTCTGCTCTTTTCATTTCTCCCCAAAGAGTATTTTATAAACTGCCTTCAGTCCTGATAGTTTAAGTCAGACTGGAATACGTAACTCCACTTCTATATGTAAATGTGTCAAGGACACACCTTGGCGTTACTATCGATGTCTTGGCACTCCTGGGAAAGAAAATGGAGGGAGATATTTGATGTTCGTAGTTTACTGGTGCCATTTCCAATGCTCTGAGACCATCTCACTTCCTTGTAGCATCACCTTGATTTTCTGTTGAGGAATGACCATCTGCTACAGGGTAAGGGGTGGGGCTCCTAGTCCCGATTAATTTTGTTCCCAAGTGTAAGCTCCAGGCCTCCCCTGGCCTTTTATTCTCCCTGGAGTGAAGAGAGGGGGTGCCTTATCTGATTGGTACATTTGTGGCTAGCAACTGGCCATGGTCTTTTCAGCGTCCTTCTCCCTCCTGGCCATGGGGTAAGACACATCCTTTGTTTGCTACACTATAGATTTGCAGGGCCAGATCCCAAGGAAGAGACCTGTAGTTATCCATTTCCATCTGTGATAGGCTGCCTGTTTCTGGGTTTTTAGTATTTAGGAGTTCATTACTACTGAACAACGAAGGCACATTCTCCAAATCTAGTTGACCTGTAATAATTGTGTCATTTTTACTCCATCTGCCCCACCCTATCTCTGTCTCCCAACTGTTCTGAACTCATGCAAAGACAAGGGTGGAGGTCATTTATGCGCCTTTGACACCCTCCCCATATGGATCACCTGGGGTCGGTTCACCTCCCCAAGTCTGGGACCGCTATGTGTCATGTGCTCCAGGCTTGGCCAATCCTATTTCCATCCCTTCAGTCCTGGTGATTGGTTGGGAATTGGGTGCACAATTCATGTTGACTCAATGAGATGGTATCCCTGGATAGTCACTGGGTTATTTTGAGAAAAGAAATTATGATTTGTACTGGATTTACTCAGGAGAACACAGACCAAGACCCTGCCTGAATAGAATTGACATACAAGAAAGCAGAGCTGGGCAGATAGCAAAAGAGACCAGACACAGTGACCACAAATCTCCTGCATTGCTTGAGCCAACGTGAATCCCTTGTGACCAGATTAGCCCAATGCTTCTCTCCCCACTATTTTGGCAGGAAAAAAAATACTAAACACAACTTGTCCCACCCTGTCCTTGAGATTGGCTGCCATGTACCATCAACACCCACTGCTCTTTTGGTGGCCCTTGTGTCCTACAGGAAAAAGTCACCCTATAAGGGTAAATGTGTGCGAGTGATCTCTACCTTTTGAAGGGATTTTTTTTTTTTGCGCTATAGTGTAGTAATTCATCGTAGAACTCAATGCACATTTGACCACTGTTACCTTCAGCACGTTTTATACAATTCTGGAGATAGTCATTTGTTCTGTTATTCTCTCAAAACTCCCACACCACTCCCTGCACTAAACCAGGGGAGAAAAACGATCACCATCATTATCATCAACACATTGTTTCTTTCTTTCTTTCTTTCTTTCTTTCTTTCTTTCTTTCTTTCTTTCTTTCTTTCTTTCTTTCTTTCTTTCTCTTTCTTTCTTTCTTTCTTTCTTTCTTTCTTTCTTTCCATCTGATGAAGAGCCAATGTAACCCTAGGGACATGGGGAAGTGTCAGCACCTGTCCAGGGTGAGATGGCGGTTAACTTAGCTCTGTGTAGATGAGAAACAGAAGTGCAGAGAAGCTGCCCCACCTCAAAGCCCAGGCTGAGGCTCATTGTGTCACAGTGTCCCTCTGGGCAGAGAGAGATGTCTGGTATTTATGAGGTAAAAACGGCTGTGGTCCTTCCCAGTCTCTAAGGCTCACTTTACCAGGGGCCAAGCCAGCTAGGAGCAAGTCCTCTGTCCTTGGACCCTCCCAGCCTTCCCTCTTTGTGTTCCTTCTTTGCTCACTGCAAGGCACATATACTGGCTTATAATGGTGCAATTTTCACTGTACTCACCCCAAACAGGTTGTGATAACGTTGCTAAAAAATCCCAACAGGTAGGAGTGAAATCAGGATAGACTCAGTTCCAGTGCTAAATGGGACCATCGCGGTGACAACCTGGACTCCTTCTTTTATTGCTGGTTGGTGAGCAAAGCTTATAGTACCTGCTGGATGTGAAGCCTCCCCCCCAACTATTCTTAGGCACTAGACCTGGAACTCTGAAATAACAGTAAAAAAAAATTCCAGAGGGAAAGCAATTTGACAGTGTATCCAGCTTCAACATGAGCGTGTGCTACTGTAATGCAGTACCACAAACTGAGTGGTTTAAACAATAGAAATGTATTCGTCTTAATAACAAATGTATTAGTTCTGGAAACCAGAAGCCTGAGATCAAGATATCAGAAGCGTTGGTTCCTTCTAAGAGCTGAGCAGGAGAATCTGTCCTGGGCCTCTCCCTTAGCTCCTGGTGGTATCTGACACTTCTTGGCTTTCAGAAGCATCTCCCCACAATATCTTCCTTCATCTTCCTGTGGCATTCTCTCTGAAGACAAATTTCTTCGTCCATATTTCCCCCTTTATAAAGACCTCAATTATACTGAATTAAGACTCACCCTGGTGACCCCATTTTTAACTAATTACATTTGCAACATCTGTATTTCCAAGTTAGTTCACAGTCTGAGGAGCAGGGGGTTAGGACTTTAAGGTGTAAATTTTTTTTCCCCCCAAGGGACAAAATGAACTTGTATCAGCCAGAAATCTCATGTTAAGAAATCTAGCCTGGTGATCTACTAGCATGTGTACCCCAAAAGATGTTTTTTAAGATGATTTGGGCAAAAGCAAAATTGGAGTAGTATGTACTAGAAGAGAGGGAGAGAGCTCTGCTTGTACCACCATGGAATAATTTCTAAGCCATATTATAAACATAGGAGTGTCTTATGAAAGCTAATGTAATCACAACGTAGAACACAACTGTGATCCATATAAATGCACTCAGAGATGATCAGAAGAATGTATAAACCAAACCATCAGCAGTGGAAAGAGAGGGAATACAGGATACTTAAAGAGCCATTTGGAAATTTCTGGCATAGGCCAATCATGTGTATCTTTTATAATGAAAATATACTCACACATTAGCTGAGTAATAAAAGTAAAAATTGTGTTCTCTCCTTTAGTTATTGTTTTAGTCGGCTTTTTTTTTGCTGCTGTGACGGAAAGACCTGACAAAAACAATGTTATGGAGGAAATTTTATTTGGGGGCTCACAAGTTTCAGAAGTCTCAGTCCAAAGACAGCTGGGCTCCATTCCTTGGGGCTCAAGGTGAGGCTGAACATCAGGGAGGAAGTGTGTGGCCCAAGGAAGTGGCTCACATGATGATTAGAAAGGAGAGAGAGAGAGAGAGAGAGAGAGAGAGAGAGAGAGAGAGAGAGAGAGAGAGATATTCCACTCACTAGATACAAAATACCCCCAAGGCACAGCACACCCCCAGTGCCCGCCTCCTGCAGCCACAGCCTACCAGTTACCACTCACTTAGTCCACATCAGGGGATTAATTCACTGATTATGTTAAGGCTCTCACAACCCAATCATTTCACCTCTGAATGTCCTTGCACTGTTTCTTACGTGAGCTTTTGGGGGGACACATCACACCTAAACCTAATGCCCAAGGTCAGTCTAGACCCAAAGGAATGCAGGTCAAGCCAGTTGGTCTCCAGAGGGTCTCCATGGCTCCAAAGAGAAAGGGAGCAGAACTAGATCCTTCTTTACCCACTGAACTCCAGGAGTCCTCTGCCCACCCACCGTGAGCGAGAGCCTGGGCTGTGGAGGCGGGCAGCTGTGAGTGCTGCCCACACTATTTGCTTCTCTTTGCTTTAGTTTCTAATTTGCAGATCTGGGTTAACAGCCACCTCAGGAGCCTCATGTGAAACATACCCAGGCTAGAGAGCTACATTAATTGGTCTTTGCTCACATTTTATTTATGGACCAGAAAAATGTCTGATATTGGGCACTGGCCAAAACTCTGATATCCCAATCAAACATCTGTAAAACTGTTCAAGAAAAAGCAAGGGTGGGGGTGGGCATAAGACATGGGTAATATTTCAGTAGGTAGAAAGAGGTGGGCTGGATAAGACTTTATCTGTTTTCCAATTTTTAAATCTACTACCCATGTAGATACTTGCGTGTAGTCTTAATATTTATAGGGAAGACATGAGCATGTACATTCATCTACGTGTGTCTCTGGTGAAAAATGGGAGAGACAGAAAGAAAGAATTTCTATTTATTTCAGAATGGTTAATGAATGAGGAAATTGGATAAAAACTAATTAACTAGAAATTCTGATTTCATGAGATATGTTGTAAATATCCCTTATAAATGGCCAGGTTTCAAAGAGTTAGAGTCCAATAAAATTCCTTTCAACGAACCTTGTACAAATAGCTCTCTAATCTCTTTTAGAATTTAGAAAAGGGCTTGCAGGTGTAAAGGTTTTTTTGCGGTCACCATTAAAAAACACCCACCAGCAATGAACGCAGTCCTGGTTATTTGAATGTTCTGGGAGTTTGGGTCCGGATAAAGGAAGCTGGCGACTCTACCTTTTTCTTGCAGCTATCTGGTAGCTACAGCTCTATCTGCTACCTGTGTAATTAATCATCGGGCTTAGCTAATGCCTCCTAAATTAATGCAATTATCAGTGTCTCCGAATAACCACCTTCACGCACACGCTGCTATCAAAACACACCGCTGACAGATCTGCAGCCAAAGCAGGGACGTTCAGAGACTAGACATGGGATTGATTTTAATTAACTTGTTTCTCATATTACAAAGGTGAGAAAATACCGACTCGCAGTAGCTCCAGATTAAAAGAATGGAAGAGAGAACGTGTGGATGGGCAGAGACTCATGAAAATAATAGCTACAAGGTATTTTCGTTCCAAAGCCTCCACATCCACTTGTGGTGTTTTATTACCAACAGTTGGCCCAGGCTCAGCCCAGAACCCAGCAGTTCGCTTGTTTCTCGCTTCTCATTACAGAACTTCTGTCTGAGGAGCCCCTGGTTTAATTTGTTCTGGGCTAAGCGTGGCAGGGAGAGTCTCAGGATCCGGGTGAACATTTCTTCTCCTCCTCTCCGCCCCCTTCCAACCTGAAATATTTCATGAAATGCAGAGTTTGGGAACCAGATGCAGGTGAAAGAAAGACCACTTTGTGAGTTTGAATTTATCATAGGCTGCAGCTCTCTTGGAAAGCCGTGCATTTCCAGGAACACAGCCCAGTCTGTGGGTGCAGAGGAGCTGCTCCCCCCCCACTCGCCACAGACAGTTCAGAAGGGGTCACTGCTTTTGAGATGAGGTTGATGAATGGCATTTTCCAACGCATGTTACGTTGGACCTTAGTCTGAAAGATGGTCCTTGAAAAAAACAAAGGTCAAATAATTTTGGAAAATAATACATAACTGAGGATGCCTCTCCCCCCCGTTTCAGGAAATTCCCTCTGTATGTGTTGAAGGCTCAGAGATGCCCAGCATCAAGGAAGTACATGGGTTCTTGTCCGACCCAGTGTTACCTGAGAAAACTGACCCAGACCCCTTTACTCGGGTTTCATCCCAAACAGCACTGGGTGTGGATGAGATTCACCCGGAGCGCTCTCCAGTACTGCAGGGAGGTCCCACGGAACACACACTGGAAGACGCCACGCCTCGTGCCCCCATCTCAGGAGCAGTGACCCCTTCTGAACCTGGGATTGGGGACCATGCTGGAAACTCCAGTTTTCTCCATATCGGTCACTAATTATTGCGTAACCTTACCAAACTCCTGCCCTGCCCTGGACCTCGGGGTTTCCTCATCTAGAGGAAAGAGGTCCTGCTCTTAAAGTCTGTGACTTGGTTAGGGCCGCAGACAAGCTGAATCAGTGACAAACCAGAGAATATAAAAGGACAGGGAAAGAGGAGGAGAGACGGAGCTAAGGAAAGAAGGAAAAGAAAGGGACCGGCTAGGCTTCCTACAGAGACCGTGTCTTTAGATAGGGTGAGTATCAGGAATAAAGAATCTAATATCGACCTCATTAACAAGGGACTCTAATTCGGCTGGGCAAGGGGCACAGGAGCCACCCTCCATGTGTGCGATGCCGGTGGCCTCTGAAAAGCTCGGGCACCCTCGAGGGCCCTGGTGTTGCTGCCACCTTGATTGCCTCTGCTCAGCCACTCCTCCCCACTCCCAGCACATACCGGAGGCTGTCACCTTCTGGGCAGGACACAAGGGAGAAGAGCATGCCCATCGGCCCAGCAGGAGGGACCTTTCCTGTACCTGGAGGCTGCTCTTCTTCCAGGAGAAGGCTCTTGTCATCGCAGTGGAAAAGTCCTGTCCTGGAGGTCAGCCAACTTGGCTTCAGGTGACTTGGGAGGAAGAGCTCTCTCTTGCAACCATCAAAAATGGAGGACAATGATCCTCACTGTGATTGTCATCATGATTTCTTTCCTGTGCCCTTAACCTGGGGGTATTTGTGGGTGGAAACAAAGGGAGGGGGGGAATGGCGGAGTAAGGTTTGCTTCCTCGGCAGAGCTGCTTTCTGAGCTGCCTCCCACCCTGCTCAGGTTAGTTCTTCTGGGAGAAGAAACTGGCTCAGGCTGATAATCATTGATGTAATAAATACCTTAAATCTTAAAAATCATCCTTTTTATTTTCAGTACTGGGAATGGGATACAGAGGGACCCTACCCTCAGTCCTTTTCATATTGAGACAGAGTCTCGTTAAATGGCTCAGATTAGCCTCAGACTTGCAATCCTCCTGCCTCAGCCTCCTCAGTCGATGGGATTTCAGGTGTGCATCTCTGGGCCATGCCTAAAAATTATCTGAATATGGCTAAAAGTCATTTTAAAGTCATAATCCCATGGAGTCTTCACTGTGGGCCAGGTGATGAGCAGAACCCTCCCTGCGGGCTCTTACTCATTCTGATTGCTATCGTATGTGGCCAGCCTCAGCAATTTCTTTCATTCTGTCAAGAGTTCAGATATGTAGCCTAGGCTGAGTGGGCAAACTCTTCTCACCACCCATCTGCTTGGAACACAAGTTCTGGCCTATATGCCCCCTCTTTCGGACTTCCAAGGTTTACCCAAATAGTCTTCTTGACTTCTCAGACTCCCAGTCCTCTTTGGGTGTTCAACTCTCTTCAGTTCAATGGTCACTAATTGCTGCTTCCAGGTCCCTGGGGTCCCTGGAGATGTTTCCTAGATAGAACCTCCAAATGCCTCTTTGACAGTGACAGAGGTGTAACAGACTATCCCCCAGTTTCTCCACCCCCCAGAGCCCCACTTCCCCTCCCTGACTCTTTCTCCCAGTGCACCCACCACTCTCGGACCTCTGCCACCCGGCCCTAGGTAAAGGGATCAAGGGGGTGGGAGGCAGCCATTCCTCAGACAAGACAGAAAAACCCAGAAGAGTTTGGAGTCCTCTGACGATCAGGACTTCCTAGTTGATGTGGCAAGTGGCCAGTCTGTCATGTCCTCTCTCTTGAGGACTGTGAACTTGAGCTGTATGTTGAGAAGTTGGTAGACGGAGGTGGTGTCTGAAGAGTGGGGCAATGGAGAGGGCAAGGGGGTGAACCAGCCCAACAGGGCAGAGACCTGGAACTGGGAGGGGATTATAAGAGGTCCAGGTGACAGAGTTGCCCCTCCTGCCCCTGTCTTGGGTCCTGTAGGGGGGCTGGCCAGCTTTGTCTACGCCATCTTGTGTCCTAACACCCATCCTGTGTAACTTCTGTGAGGCGCTAGGATATGTCTCTGGCCCTAGAAGCCAAAAAAAGTGCACATGATGTACATTGTGATTCTTGGATCTGCTAATGACTTGGGCTCATTAGGGGACTGGCCGCTCTCCCCTGTCCAGCTGAATCACTTCACCAGCGCCTTCCTGCCCAACCCATCATCAGAAAGGCCTGATGTGACTCTCTTCCATCCCCTGCCTCGGCTGGCTCCCTCTTTCTCTGTCTGTCTGTCTTGGTCTTTCTCATTTTCTGAAATGAGACTTCAGAGCTGCCCAGAGTGGGACAGGGAAGCAGTGATGTTCTTTTAAAAGGCTGTCTGACAAAGGTGTGGGAGGATTTTTACTTGATAAAGAGAGAGCCAGAAAGAGAATTTCCTGAGAAATCTGTCAAGTAGGTTCTTATACCAGCCCGTGTGCCCCGTTGGCTGGGCTGTCAGCCTTTGAAGGAAGCAAAGGGAAAATTTCTAATTGTGCTTGTTACACCGAAGGCATTTGTGTCCTGTGAGAGCAGCTGCCTAGTTCTCAGGCCCCCTTTTTTAGGAGAACTGGGTCTCAGCGGGTCCGAGACGAGAGACCAATGTCCAGGAAGGAGCTCTCATTCTGCTGACTTAGCATTTGTGAGCAAGGCTCAGGGAGAGACCTACTGGTGTCCAGAGAGCTCTAGTCTCTAAGACTGACAGATTCACTAGACATCAGGCCCACGACCATAGAGCAAGCCACAGTTTTTAAGAGAATATCTAGGAAACTGCCCAAGACCTGTCAAGCTTCTTGACCTGCGATCTTCTATTACTTAGGAATATTTGATTATCCATGGCAGAAATCACTTTAGCTAATATAAACATTTAAGAGATATCATAACAAGGATATGGGATTGCTCATAGGAAGGACTTGACAAAGTTGGAGGAGACAAAACCAGGGCACTTCCAGTGGGTGAGGATACAACCCATCCTTTATTGATTGATTGATTAATTGATTCTGTGTCCCCCCCTGCTCAGGGTTTCAATTCTCAAGAGCAGGACTCATGGGCCTGGTTGTAATATGCTTAGCTCTTTCCCAGAATCACCTGACGGCCATTCCCACCCAGACTGTATGCAATGAGGAAGAGGGTGTTATCTCCAAAGAAAATCAAGGTCCGTTGTCAGAGGAAGGGAGCGTGGAGGCTGGGCGGCCATAGCACTGTCCCCCACCACTGATCCTGACTTCAGTACTTGTCTTTGTTCCTTCCTCCCTACTCCCACTATGATGTTCTGAATTTGGTGGCCTTGCCAAGATACTTTATACTCAGGTCTCCATGCATTCATGTGCTCCTTCATTCATTCATCCATCCATCCATTCATGAGCGTATATTTATTTAACAAGAACACGTCAAATACCGACTAGGGGTCTTGCACTGGGTAATAGATGGGGCTTTGTACCTCCTTGGACATTGGCACCCGATTGTCCCCTCCAGTACCTGGCATGATGAAATTTCATTCAGGCCTCACCTTATTTCAATCCCTCACTTTCACTAGTGCTCCAGGCCCACCCTGAGAAAGAATTTGAAAAAGTGTGACTCTCTGCAAAAGTAAAGGCTTCATGGTGATCTTTAACCACTAGCACCCGGAAGAGAGTCAGTGTGTATGTCTTAGGTGGGATGGATTTGTTTGGGTAAAAGATGGAGAGAAGAAGGTTCTGGTGTCTGGAGCACTGATATAGGCAGCTTCTTTGGGTGACGGGAGGGTACTAGTGACATGGGATCCCAGGCACCTACGTGAAGGTGGGGAGCCTGGAGAAAGAAGAATGGACCCACATGATGGGAAACCATCACACCATTTGGAGTCCAATGGCCTCGCTCTGAGCTTAACCCCACTGTCCACCAGCTGAATATCTTGAGTCCCTACACGCTCTTTCTCCTAGTCCTATGCAGTTTGAAAAATCCCAGCCTTCAAATCTGATGCATTCCTCTCCTCCAGATTATGCTGGGGGTTTACATTTCCAAAGCCAAAGGAAACAATCCCAACAACCTGTCACTTAAATCAGAGCAGATTTATTGCCTTTAAGCAGGAGAAGCTTGTTAGAGAAGGAGCGTCATACATGCCCATGAAGGCAGGAGCAGGCTGGAGGTGTCCTTGGCAGTTTGTCAGGGCTCATCAATCTCCACTACCACTCATGTACCTGTGGAGCCCCATCAGGGCTAATGTGGGGCCTAGGAAAACTCAGGGTATTGTCCCCAGAGGGGGAAGGACTTTTAGACCTCTAGACCCTGATTGCACATCTCCTACATTTTCTTAGAATCCGTTTGATCATTTCTGTAGAACTCGAAGGCTATCATTCAAAATGACTGGACACATATTCTCTGGTCAACCCAAAGGACAAATTAAATGTATCGTTCCCTAGACCATGGGAAGTCGAGAAGACTGGGATTGGCTGTGGCCCTTGGCACAAGCACACGTGGGAGAAAATAAGGAGTTAGGAGGCAAACGCAGGGCAGAGAGTTGGGGGAGGGGGGGAAATCTGTGCTCTGCCTTTGACTAAGTCACCTCTCTAATATCTCTTTGGGCAAGGTCTATTTTCTGATACCCCAGGACAGAGATTGTGGTCAGCACAGCACTTGAAGCATTCACAATGGCAGATGCCAAATTTTAAAATTAGGTCTGGTTGAATCTGTGCTAAGTATTAAAAAAAACATACGACCTGTACAAGTCATTTAGCATCTGTGAGCATCTGGAAATGATTGATATCTACTCCTCCAGGTTGTGATAAGGACTCAAAGATGTAATAGATACAAAACTGTTAGGTACCAAGTAAATGTCCGTTGTATGGTTATTTGGGGTCCAGAAAGAAGGATGGTTTAAAGTGGTCTTTTCTCCCAGTTCTTGGTAGAAAGGCCTCTTTCTATGTCCTGGAGCCTCATCGGGACAGTCCCCAGGTTCCTGGAACTCAAGTCTGAGTTCTCTGACTTTCTGTTTACGCATTCGCATTCTTCATTGTTCAGCAAAGGAACAGGACCACAAGAGAAGCTCAGTAAGCACTTGCAGAATGGGCTAATAATACGTAGCAGTAATAAAATACAGAATTAAAACCACAGTATAGTAAACAAATAAACAAAAAAGGCCATTATCACTAACTTACAGGTCTTTGGTTACTACACAGACAGCACACGGGTGAGGTGGACCCGGTAGGATGTGATAGGGAGAGGCAGGGAATTAGAGGGCACATGTCCCACTCAGGGCAGCTGCAGCTCTTCTGTGACCATGCATGGTGGTAGCTCCTTACTGCCACTAAGGACCCAGTGATGCCAGATCTTGTTTTTTCACGTTTTTTTTTTTTTTTGTCAAATTATAATTATCAGCACATATTAATTGCACCAATTAGTGATTTCACTGTGACATTGCCATACAAGTACATAATGAGTTTTGATCATACCCACCCTCTCTAGTTCTCTCTCTGATCCACCCTACAGCCTCGCCTGGTGCACTTTTCTGTCCCTAATAGTGTTCCTTCTACTTTCAGGTTATTTTATTTTTTTCAAATTTATTTTTCTTAGATTTCACATACGAGGGAAAAAAAAATACTTATCTTTCTGAGACTGGATGCCAAATCTTCTAAGCGTTTTTTTTTTTTTAAGCCTGGAATCTACATTTTTAAAAATCATGCTTTATAATTGTACATAGTAGTTGGTTCATCCCAATAAACTCGTGGATGTGCGGAAATCGATTCCGGTTCACGATGCCCCCTTGTCCCTTCTCCTTTACCTTCCCATTGGAATCTACATATTATAAAATGGTATTTAAGCATTTTTAAAATCAATAATTATTTTTTAAGCATGGGTAACTAATTCAAATATCAAGACAAAACCCCACAAAGCCTTATTATGAAGAATCCTCAAAACACATCTGGCCCAGTTTGGAGGGAAAACCTCCTTTGGGAGACCTCAAGCTACTCCTCTTGCCTCCTTTCATAGATGGGAAGACAAAGGCCCAGGACACAGAGCTGGTGGATGAGGAGGGGAAACACCCCCGTGCCTTCTGGGCACCTTTGCTCCTCTCTGGGGATCCCTGAGCTCCATTGTCCAGCTGCGCATAAGGAGACTCTAGAATGGGCAGGCCAGGTACCTGATGCATGGCGACCAACAGGTTCCTTCCTGTTCTCTGCATTTGCAGGCTTCCTCATGGGGCCTCCTCCCTGGTGAGAGCCTTGGCACTGTCAGGTGCAAGAGGTGGAAAGGACAGAGCTGGGCAGCTGCAGAGGAAAGAGGCTTCCCCAGGGCTTAGCCCGGGCACCTCAGCCTCAGCAGCCTGAACACAGACAGCTTTGCAGGCCTGTGAACTCGGTGCAGAGAGACAGAAGAGGGGCAGGGAGGAGGGACAGAAAAGCCACAGGAATGAGTCATGCTCATGGAGGGGACCTTCCTCCCCCTCCTCTCCATGGGCACTGATGCCCAAGGCCCAGGGATGATTTGTTTGCCCACAAATCCAAATGGGATGACAAGCAAATCATCAGATTGGCTGAAGATGACTTGTTAATTAGGAAATAAAATCAGGGCCTGTACACACAGAGCTGTTTGTGGGAGTTTGCTTTGCTTTATTGAGTGGGTGGCTCTTGCCATCATGATAATAGAGAGCTGATAAACAGTGAAAACACAGGAAATCATTTGGCCTTTAGCCCAAAACAAGGGCTGGAGGGAATGAGGACCTCAGTGCTGGAGGGAGGGGCTGCAGCTGCTCTTGTCTGTGCAAACCAGGACTCCTCTTTTGTGGCCAGAATTGACCTCCTGTCCCAGAACACCACCCTGTCCCCGGGAAGCTGCTCCTCTCGTCCAGCTTATCATCCATGTCAGCGTGGGCTCTGAGGAGCTTGACCAACCGGGGGGTCCTCTTTAAAAAAAAAAGAACACAAAATGAAGGATAGAGGTGAATATTGATTGAGAGTTTTTAAAAAATCATGATGAATAAGAAAAATTTAATAAACTGAGAAGCACCCTACATACATTAGAAAATTCATAAAAAAATAACATAATGGTTATGAATTACCAGCTGGCACACCTTTAAAGTCCTTTCTTATTCCCTCCCTGTTTGGGATTGGTACCCTTTGATAGCTTTTTTAGGTGACAATGATTATGTAGTATCACTTTTTTTTTTTTTTTGGTAGAGAAAGAAATTGGAAAGATTCATTTGCAGAAGAAAACTCCCATTTTGAGGGGGGATCCGTGAAAAACAGCTCTTGGTGTCCTGTTGCAGTCCCTGAGGATTAGAATCACCCAGCATGAACCAGCTTCTGGCTTCCTTGACTTCCTCACTTCCTGCCAGTGAGCACCCTGGGACACGGCCCTCTAGGAACGTGACCTCTGACCTTGAACCTTCCCAGGATGACACAGGGTGAGCCAGTAGGGGCATTCCTGGAAGCCATCCCACACCAGCACAGCTGGAAATATCTTAACGGTACAGAACACAGAGGGGAAACCATATAAACTCATCCCACCCTATTCACACTGGCCATCACTCCAACACCATCTCTTCATAGCCAGATCCCCAAAACCCACACAACTCTCCAACATGGCTCGATAGGAGCAATTCCAAGGCAAAATAAACAGCAGTCTTAATTGATGTGGTTCAAATATCTTACTTAAAAAACAAAAACAAAAACAAAAAAAAACCTAAACATTTGAACAGTATAACCAGACTGTGGAATATGACCCAGCAGTTAAAAAGACCACGGTAAATAATTCTGAAGTGGAGGCTAAGACATCTTGAGCAGGGAAAGCATGCTATCTATGTATCTATGTGCTATTTGTCTGGCTGTGTACATATGCAAATGCACTGAAAAAGGTCTAGCTGTGTACAAACCAATTGCTGACGGTCTGTGTCTCCAAGGAAAGTGCTGTGAATGGGTGAGGGGGATTCCAGCTCTCTCTCTAATATTAGAATATTTACAATCAATACACTCACTTGCCATTGAGTGGGCAGCCTTACAAGACAGCTGGATGTATAGCCCTGAGGTTCGGAGAAAATCCAGACTGGAGACTTATTCAGTATCTGCTTATGACAAAATGGCATGTTTTCATATGTTTTTTTAAAACCAGCTTTGGTTGCAAGAAACGGAAACCTACTCTGGATATGTCAGCAGAAAAGGGAAGATACATCTTAAGGATACAGGTCTGAGACCCCAAGGTGAGTAGTAGCATTACAGGTCTCAGCAAAGTCTGGAACCAAGAGCTACAAAGCCACCGGGAATCAAGGCCACTTTTCTCTGGCACACACTCTTTCTGGTCCGCAGAGGCCTCGGTACGTATCTTTCCCAGCCCTAAAGCAAAGGGTCGGCTTAGATGGGGTCTTCCCATCCTCTCTAGTTCCGGAATGCTGGAGGTTATAAACTGTGATTTTAAACTCTGCAGCCTCCCCATCCAGAGGGGGAGAAGACCCTCAGAGTTCAACCCTCAGAATTCAACCCCCAGAATTTAAGGACCGGCTGCTGCCTCTTGCCGGCAGGATCTGTAGCTGTGCGCTGAAGGAGCCACACAGCCTCCCACCTCCTCGCCACTAATTTAGCTCCAACATGGTCGCATCTGCTTTGCGGGTGGCTTCCTCAAGACTACAGGGAGGCCGCGAGGAAAGGAGGGGAGCTTGCTGGAGGCTTGCCTAGGACTTGCGGCTAATAAAGTTGATTAGACTGACAGTCTCTCCTGCTTTATTACTGACAGCTTGTGTCCTCATTTTGATTTATCACCACCACACCTACCTGAGTCAGGAGCGAAGATTAGCCCAAATTAAAGCTGGGGTGACTCAGGAGAGCTGAGACGTGACAGCAGGATGGGGCCAGCGGGGAGGGTGAGGAGCAGCTAATACCTGATGGGTAGGATGGAGACTGGCCCAGCTGGCTCTCCTGGGAACCAGAGCCAATGTCCCAAGGATCCATATCCCTTTCCATCCAGGGAGGAATGAGGATTTTGCTGTTTTCTTTCTGGCCAGGGAAGAAAGTCCATAAATAAAGCTTGTGGGTATTGTGTGTAGCTCAACCAGTCTCAGGAGGGTCATAAATCCTAACCAGGAACCATCTCGGCACACACCTGGGAACATGAGCAAAATTATCTTCTATCTAAAGTAGTATCCTGCCCTTGGTACCCTGTTCCAGAACACTGAAGCTGGGCTAGAACCCAGTATTTTGTGAATGTGGGCTGGACAGAGGTGAACAGGGCTACTACATTTAGGTGTCTAGGTGCCAGACCATACACCAAAGATCCAGGGCTGAGCCTCCTGACCTTCATGACAGGTCATCCTCTGTCCTGACCCACTCACTGGAACTCAGCCAGCCCTGCACCTAGTTCACTGAGGCGAATGAGGGTCAGGCTGAAGAGCAGGAGTCAGAGTTAGATGGTTCGAAGGCTGGTCCAGAGGATTTAGGTCCCTACGACTAAGCTCTTGACTTCTACATCCAAATGCCTTCCTGATGGGTCCACTTGAGTTTTTTGTTAGTCAGCTTTGAGTCACTGTGACAAAACACCTGAGAGAAATCAACCAAAAGGAGGAAAGATTTATGTTAGCTCATGATTTAGAGGTTGTGGTCTATAGTTGCTGGTTCCTTGCTTTTAGGCCTGTAGCCAGGCAGAACGTTGTGGCAGAAGCATGTGGTGGGGGAAGCTGCTCAGCTCATGGAGGCTGGGAAGGAGAGAGAGAGAGAGAAAGAGAGAGACTAGAGACAGAGTTCCTTCCCCCAAACTGGATCCGCAAATGGGCTACTCCATTCATGAGGTCAGACCCTCACGATCCAGTCACCTCCCAAGGCCCTGACCTCTGAACACTATTGCACTGGGGACAAAGCCTTCAACAGATGGGCTTTTGGGGGACATTTAAGATCCAAATTATAACAGGTTTCAAATAAAGATCTCAAACAACAAGCACCCAAGGCAGACTCCTGGCTTCTCTCCTGTCCCCCTCATCTCAGGGGTGGCTAAGACATCAACCTGCTGCTCATTCAAACCTAAGAGGCACCTTTGAGTCCTCTCCTCCTATTTCTCTCTAACACGTCATCTGGGCCCATTCACTCTATCTCCAGAACATACCCCCGTTTTCCTCCACTTCTCAACGTCTCTCTGCGACCACCTGTTCCAGTTCCATCATCCCTGGCTTGGACTACAGCAGTAGGCTTCTAATTGTTTTCTCAGCTTCTAACTTTCCGTGCCACTCACCCCCAACAGTCCGTTTTCCATGCAGTGCCAAAACATACATCAGAGCAGTTATTTCCTATCACAATTTCTTATTATAAAACTCTTCAAAATCCTAGATGATACTCATCTTGACTCATTCTTTAATCCTATCATACCATTCTCCACTAACTCTTTACACTCAGGCCATACAAATTTCCTTTTTATTCTTCTGATCAATTTTTTTTTTTTTTTTTTTTTTTTACACTGAACTGACTTAGAAAACTTGCGGTTTTCTCTATCTGGAAAGATTCCGTGCCATACCCCCCAATACTCTCCTCCTTCTCATTAAATGTCAAACACTACTTCCTCCTTCTCTTTTTGCAGAAATGCTAATCCAATGTCTAGTAACCCTCTAATTTTTTTTCTTTTAGCACTTTTAGGATATAATATTATTTTAATTATTTGTTTATTTTTCTGCTTTCCCTTACCCGAATGTGAGCTCGTCTCTGTTGTTCATTATCCATCCCCAGGGCCTAGGACAGTGTCTGGCACAGTAAGTACTCAATGACTATTTATTGAATGAATATAGCATAGAAGATAGCTGCAGAGGCCTCTGCCTTGATGAACTGAACTTGACCTTGATCAGTAGGCTCAATAGGGGAAAGACCCAGCCATGCAGTAAGGAAGGAACTCTGCAAGATCAAGCCTCTATCTGCTGCCCAACTTCTCTGGCCCTTCTCAACCCTTGTGAGCCGTCTTTGTATCATGAATTTTGTTTTTACCCATTTTTCTCACCCATCGTTGGCAGGAAGACTTGGCTTTGGATGCCCAGAACCCATGCCTTTAATATGGAGGCTGATTTGCCTGACTGCAAAGCCAGATCAGACTTGAGGAAACCTACATTCAAAAACACAGTCAGAAAGTTGAGTTTTCATCAGAGAAGATAAAACTTCTCATATTGATTGGGGCCAAGGGTAGGAGGGATGAGGGGGGGAACAGAAAACAGCCAGAAGCTCCGATTTCTATGTGATTATAATCAACTCAGAGGTTTAGCTTCTGTTTCATTACACAGGGGGGGAAAAAAATAAAACCTGACTTCTCCCCACCCCCACCATCTAACACACCTGCAGGTAATATCGCTAGCTTTCCAAATCTTTTTTTTTTTAAGCTATTTTCCTTATT